GAGCTTGAACAAAATCAACTAAGGATGAATGTAGCCCATGACAGGCTTGATTACTTGGTGTGAGTCTCACCTGCAGGACCCGAAGGAGAGGCAGGGGAAACTACAGGCTCAGTCTTAGTGGATGAGGCTTTGAGTAAAGTTGCCTTGGAAACCTCATCCTCAGGCTCAGAAATTTTAGATGAGGCTTTGATTAAGGTTGCCATGGAAACCTCATCACCAGCGTCCAAAGGGTGAGGAAGAGTAGCCTCAGGCTCAGCAAAAGAGGATACATGTAATTGGTCTTAGGGGGCAGAGGTGTCTGATTTTCCTGCGGCTTACTTTTACATTTTGAAAACAATTATCTCTTAATGTAAACAAAGTGTGAACATAAGGTAATTCTGACCGTTTTCCCTCTCTCTTACAGTGCAGTTCTAGTTGTGAAATGTGTTAGAATCAGTATTTCCCTCTGGGAGTAGGCAGGCCATGCAGGTGTAGAAAACTATCAAACAGCTCTTTTTCAACATGTGAGGTTCAAACAGTTTTTAGTGCTTAAGAATACCTTCCAAAGGAGTAAGAGAATTTGACATTGTTTCCCATCAACTCAAGAGGAAACATATAGGCATCCCTTTTAATCTCTACTTGGTTTCTGTATTCTCTCGAGGCGTCCCCTGAGGGGAGCTGCTCCAGAGCAGGTGGCTGCCGTCTGGAGAGAGGCTGAAAGATGGGTGGGGTTGGATTAGCCACTTTTGCTGACTCACGCTCCTACCTTCACCAGAAATCTATACGCCTCTAACTCTAGCAGGTGTTTCTAAAAGCACAACCTACACTTGATTCCCGCTGTAACAGTCGTAGTTAAAGAAGGAAGCATTGCTAACAAAACCAATAATTAAGAGATCTAAGCCTCTGTTTTCTAATTCTTTGAAAGACAGTGATGGCAAATTGAAAGTAACTGGAGCCCCTCCCAGCCTGCAGAAGAAATCACCTGTAAAGACTGAGTCACGTGCTCTACCTAATCACCGAGGCAACCTTCCTCAGCAGCAAGACAAGGCTGTGTTTTACTCAAATCCACCGGAAATCTCTGTCTCTGAACCTCACAGATTAAATTTATGCCCATCATCTAGCATCCATAATCCACATATTACTAAAAACATCTTAATCAGTTTCCTACATTCACATGAAAGAAGAGAGAGGCTGACTAAAATCTTTTTATTCTAGTTAGCATATACAAGGCACACGTGTAAATTGCCAGCTGATAGCTGTTTTCCTCCATAAAAGGCAAACATATTGCAAACTGCCTCAGCCTGATTTCCTGGAGGGAGGACTGGACTAGCTACCGGTGCTTTAGCTAATCAAGGAATTCTAAAGTTAACTCCCAGCACGTTGGAGTAAGTTTTCTGGCTTACTAGCAGAAAGAAAAGTTCCAACCTGTAGTCCATTTCTTACTGGAGGCTTAAGAGAGGGCTCTATCAGGGTCATCTCCGGTCACTCTGGGACAGAGCGTACCAGAAGATCACTGAGTTGTTTCTCATCTCAGTGCGGTTCCAGTAGGGACGCTGGATAAGTGGAGATTTTTCTGCTGGTCACCCAGTCAGGCTGTTGGGATCCAGATTTCACTGAGGAAGCTTGGGGTATCCTCCAGAGCGTCACCCTGGCCATGACCCTCAGCTGTCCTCTCAGTTTCCACTGGTTCCACACAACAGAAAGGGGTCCAGCTGCTGTTCATCAACACTGCATTGGTTTCAATAGGGATTGGCCAAAAGGCGCTGGAGAGGTCTGTCCTCTGCTTTAAGAGTGGCAGCTGCTCTAAGAGCACTTAACTGGCAGAGTAACCACTACGTGTTTTAGGGTTCCATAGAGTACAGGTAAAAGCCTGAGCTGTCCTTATCTAAGATGACGTCCCTGTCTTCAGCATTGACAAATACTCATTTTCTGTGGGCTCAGCTTAAAAGTTCTTAGGAGGAAAGGGTCGGAACACTCCTGGGTTTCTTAAAAAGGGAAAAGTACTACGTGGCAAGGAGAGGTCAGAAATGAGATCTGAGAAAGAATCTTTTCTTCTCATGCTCGTGGTTTGTTATTTCGAAAACTTCCTCATGCGTTGTCACTCTCAGCCTGCTTGCCTATTGCCTTTTAACTGGCGGGTGATTTATTCATAAGCATGTACGTATATTTTCTTTCTTTCTTTTTTGTTTTGGTACTGGGGATCGAACTCAGGACCTTGCGCATGCCAGGCAGGCGATGGAACCACTGAGCCAAATCCCCAGCCCAGCTTGTGTATTTTCTAAATATGAAGTAGATTTCATAAAAAGACCCATTTCACAGGATTTTATATCAAAGTCCCCTAGGGGATGCTCTAATATTATTTTGCCTAGTGCTGCTGCTAGGAGAGGGTAACACAGCAGTGGAATAGGTCCAACAAGGAACTCCAGCAAGTTCAGCAGCCAAGTCCAGACATAGCACCTACGAAACCGGAATAAAGTGTCCCATCAGAGAGACATCATAATCTTCCCACATGCTCAACATGATTTACCATCACTTTAACAAGAGGCAGTGCATAAACGAGGAACAAGGCATAAAAATTCAAGGCATAAGCGAACAAGGATGACAGTTTTTGATTACCCAGGCGAGTCCCAGTCCAGAATCTGTGAAATAAAAGCAGACTCTCACCTTTCTGCAGTTCTCTTGCTGGGGTCCCCACAAGGATATAAGGATGATATCAGACCTCCAGATTGTAGGAGACCAAATATAACAACTGTATCTCATCATAACTGTTACTGCACAATACGTTTCTCCTTTATCATTTTATGATTAGCCACTTCCTCTTACAAATTTGTGGTTTTTGCCTTTATATACTGCTTGTGCCTGCAAATAAACGAGACCTTGACAACTCTTTGCTTGGTCTCCTTCTCTCTGCGCCTCTCTTGTCCCATTTCCAGGTATCTCCCCTTCTCGAGCTCTGCTGATTACTGACCCCACGGGCCGGGACACCAGATAATGTAAGGAAATATCATAACTCCCAACCTGTGAGATGTCTGATACGCCGAGTTCATGTTCTCTGCAGTAGAATGAGCTCGGGAAACAATGGAGGTTAAGAGTAGGAAATATTTATTGAGCGATAGACAGCTTCTGCCTCAGAGGGACAGGGGGAAAGTAGGTCACCAAAGAAATTCTATAGAGCAAAATCACAAGGTGGGTCCAGAACCAGCCAGTAAGATTGCAAGTGTAGCTGCTTAGCTGAATACTGACCCCATGGGGAATCAGGTCACGCAGCAAGTGTGCACGAAAAAGACTGGAAGGGATGGGCCAGGAGGTCTCGGTCCGCCGCCCACGGTGACTGATGCCTTCTAGAGCCAACCGTTACTGTTCATCCCTCGGGGGTAAAATGTAGTCTTTCCTCTTTATCTTGAGGCCTGGTCTTCAACAAATGCGCCTCCACCTCCAGTCACAGCTGTGGTGTGCTCTTACCTTCTGCACTGACCACCCTGAGAGCCTAACCCTGTCTGTCTGCCTGTAATATTTCTAACTTAGCTGACTATAATATTTACATTAACACGTGAACTTGGAGGATGTGTGCTCGTGCACACACACACACACACACACACACGGACACGCACACATTCAGTCCATAGCAGATTTGTTTCTACATTAAAAGAGGTTGTATAGGTTAAATTTTAAAATTTTATGTCAATGTAAGTGTACACTTTTTGGTAAAATACAAAGTCTGGTAAAAAACTATTGTGAACGTTAATGCAGTGAAAGAAATATTGCCATGAACCCTGCTCAGAGTTCTCCCTCTTGCTTTGAACACACGCGTCCCACAGTCCTGGCCGCTGCCTGCAGCAGCTCTGGCCTCCTCTTTCCTGAGGGTCTTTACCTCTGCTGTCCCGGCTGCCTTGATGTCCCGAATTGATTCAAAACATTTTCCTTTCATGTTTATTTTGAATTTGGGGAGGAGCCTGAGTCACACAGTGCCAGATGCAGTGAATAAGGTAGTTGAGGATAGACTGTATGTTTTTATTTGATAAAAATTTCCAAAAATATTTTGAATTGAGTCAAGACATTGAGGAAGCTGGGACAGTGCAACTAAAGACCCTCAGGAGAGAGGACTCCGGAGCTGCTGCAGGAAGCGGCCAGGATGATGGTATGAGTGTTCAAAGCAACAGGGAGGATTTCAAGGAAGATTAATGCAGTGTGTCTTTTACTGTAATAAATTTTTAAAAATTTAAACATTTACTGTTCTTTTTTTTTTTTTTGGTACCGGGGATTGAACTCAGGTCCTTGTGCTTGCAAGGCAGGTGGCAGAACCACTGAGCTAAATCTCTGGCCCAACATTTACTGTTCTGATCACATCTTATATATAACATATTCTAGCAAGCAGAACTTTCTAACCTATGAACTCTTTTTTTTAAAAAAAAACTCCATATGTAGTTTAGGCTGGCCTTGAATTCACAGAGATCTTCCTGCCTCAGCCTTCCGAGTGCTGGGATTCCAGGTGTGCACCACTGTGCCCAGCCTAACCTATGAATTCTTTACTTCTAGTCTTAAACCAAGACCCCTCAACTATTAGTTATGATACTACAAATCAAAGGTACTTACTTTGAAGATTATCATTTTTCAGTAAATGTGTACAAATCAAACTTATTTTGTCGGGTGTCTTGGGTCAGGGCAGTCAGTTTTGTCCTAAGAAAGAAAGTTTCCTTACTGCTTGTGGCTTAAACAGCTTCCAAAGATTCTGTTTTTCAAATGAACACTTTTGAAGTGAGAGGTGCCCCAGTTAAGGGAATTTTCCCCTTTCTCTCTTTTGGAGTTTATCGCACTCTGTGGTTCTTAAATATTTTTCAATTTTTACTTTTACTGGTCCGTGTCGGCCGTACGGAACGATGCTGCGCACCTAACTCCTCCTAGTTCCTTCTCACTTCCCTCCCTGGCCCCCCTCCGTCTCTGAGAGCTCTGCCTTGCTCTTCTCTCGCTGTTCCCTCCCCTCGCTGCCTGCCCTTCCTGACGGCCTTGGTCTCCTCCCCCAGGACGGCCGGGCCGCCTCATCCATCCTGGCCGGTGCTATGTTCATCTTCTGCAATCTCTACTCCACTCCGGGTCCCGCCATTCGGTTACTGTATGCAAAGCGGCCGGGAATCGGACTGTCACCGTCCCACCGGAGGTACGCTGGGCACAGGGTGGCTCTGGGGACCCACGTCCTGTTTGAAACCTGCCTCCTGGGGCTTGCATCGCATTCTTCTACTTCACCTGACATTATCCTGAACAACTGAGCGACGGAACTGGATCAGGGAGCTGGGTTTTCAGTTTCTCGAGTGTCCATGTGCGAGTTTGTGATACTAAATGAGAAAGAAACTGTCAAGAATACTTCTGTCAAGCCAGGCCTGTAATCCTAGCACTTGGGAGGCTGAGGCAGGAGGATCACTCTAAATTTGAGGCCAGCCTTGGCTACAGGGTGAGTTCAGGGCCAGCCTGGATTACGTAGTGATTCTGAGTCTCAAAAAGTAACAAAAAAAACCTAAAAGAATACTTACGTTGATGTGCCTTACTCTATAGGTGAGAAAGCTGGCCCCTGACAGGCTGTAACTCGCCTGGGTAGCACAGCCAGGACTCTCAGGGTCCAGCCCGAGACTAGCCCCGCTGTGTGGCGCCATTTGGGTCTTTAAAGCGCTGGGCTGTGCTGTGTGGGCCTGCTGGCGAGGGGAGATGCGGAAACACGGAGGAAAGGAGTTTAAGACTTGCTTTTTCCTCATGACTAAGATATAGGCAAAAGGGAGTAAATTACAAAGCATAATCTGAAAAGTAGCTTGAAACAGGAAACTGATTTGTCTTCCTCCTTTTGCTCAGAATTTCTTTCCAATTAAGCTTACTGGTACATATAAGGCAAACAATACAGTTGCATTTATCATTGAATTTTTTTCCATTAAAAAAATCTGAATTACATCTCTTTACTTTTTTGGATTAATAGTACTTCTGATGATACAATTTAAAAACTGTCCCCAAATCAGCCTGTGGCTGCTGAGTGTAACCCTCCAGATGCATTTAGAATTGATTTCCGAACTCCCCTCTGGGCCCTCGGGGAGGCAGCACAAGGCAGCAGACAGAGCCCCCCGCTTTTCTCCACGCTCTTTTGTGTCCGTGTTGGAGAGGTGAGGGCAGCTGGTGCTGGCTACACGAGAACGGACTCACAGCGGGCGGCTCGCTGTCCTGTGGTGGTCCTGACTGGTGCTGTGTTTCAGGTACCTGGGCTACATGTGCGATCTCCTGGCAGACAAGCCCTACCGCCCTCACTTCAAGCCTCTCACCATCAAGTCCATCACCGTCAGCCCCGTCCCCTTCTTCAACAAACAGAGGAATGGATGCCGCCCGTACTGTGACGTGCTGATTGGAGAAACCAAGATATATTCGACCTGCACTGACTTCGAACGAATGAAGTAAGTCAGGGCCTGCATCTTCACTGCCTCTGTGGGCTGCTTGATTGTATTTCCCGTGCAGAACTGTACCATGGCAAAGAGGCTGATGCAAAAGTAAAAGTTCAAAAAGCCAGGCGTGGTGTCGCACGCCTGTCACCTCAGCTCTGGAGGCTGAGGCAGGAGAGTTGGCAGGAGGCTCTGTAGTTAGTTCGAGGCTAGCTGGAACTACATACATAGTGAGACCCTGTCTCAAAAAACAGCAACGAAAAAGTTGGAGGACCGGAGTAACCATGAAGGGCTGCTGTGTTCTGTTGCTCTGGAAGGCGTGCAGGGTCAGGGCAGGGCCAGTGTTCGTCGTGAAACAGGAGGGAGGGGCCGGGGATTTAGCTCAGTGGTGCCCCTGCCTGCCTTGCAAGCACAAGGTCTCAAATTCAATCCCTGGCACCAAAAAAAAAGACAGGAGGGCACATCGAGGACCCTAGGGGGAGGTGGCCTTGGTGTGTCCGGGTGGGGTGAGGTTTCTGGGTGAGGCTGAGCAGTGGTGGTGCCGTTGAAGGATGTAACAGCAGCAGGGCTCGTGAGGCCTCACAGACAGCAGACGGGCGGTGGAGAGAAGAGAGCGGACAGCAACCTGAAACGAAATAGCTGGGAATAGGGTGGACGGGGATTTGTATTTGAGACGCAGGCGCCTATGATCCTAGCCCTCGGGAAACAGAGGCAGCAGGATCCTGTTTCCATTTCTGTACTGACCCCACTTGGATTTTGGGTTCCCTTGGTCTCTGCTTTTATGACTGAGGTTAGAAGGCAAACAGATCTGCGGAGAGGGCTGGGCGGTTGCACCATCCGGAGGTCAGACGGGGCCTGCGTCGGCGCAGCCTGGTTCATGGTGGGCCGGGCACGCCAGGTCCCCTGTGTGTGCCTCAGGCAGGTGTCGCCCGGGGCAGATAGGTTCCCAGGCAGGACTGTGTCGATGCGCTTCACGTGTGTGTTTCGATCTGTTCAGAGAATACCGTGTCCAAGACGGGAAAATCTTCATTCCCTTGAACATCACCGTGCAGGGAGACGTGGTTGTTTCCATGTTCCATCTGAGGTCCACCATCGGGAGCCGGCTGCAGGCTAAGGTGAGCTCTCGGGAATGTCCTCGAGTCTCTCCCTGGACCACGTCGCACTGGAGTGACTTGTGGGTTAGGGTGAGAAAGAGGCTTTTTTGTGTCTTCCCTGTGTACAGGAGAGGAGACAGACTTTGACAGGCTGGGACCTGCCCCTTGTCCTCGTTAGAAGGACTGTGCCGGAAGGGGGCAGCTCTACACCTTCCAGCAAACCATGTTTTCCAAAAGCCATGCTTCCCTTACTTACAGTTTTCCATTTGGATCTGTGTAAAGGGAGAGATTCCAACGAAGAATGTGGAATTAAAATTTTGGATTTTTTTTATTAAGATAAAATTCACAGTATGCATAAGCCACCCTTTAAAAATGTACGGTGTAGCTAAGCGTGGTGGCACCTGCCTGTAATCCTAGCATTTGGGAGGCTGAGGCAGGAGGATCACTGTGAGTTCAAGGCCAGCCTGGGCTACGTATTGAGACCTTGTCTCAAAAAACCCAAATAAATAATGAATGACTGAAGGAATGATAAATAGTGTACAGTAGTGTAGCCTGTCCTGCCGCTGGACCAGTTTGCAGTCTCCCAGTCTGCTGACGGTGACTGGGGTGCCAGCCACTCCTTGGCTGTTGGAGGTGGCACTGTAAACAGCTCTACTTTAGGTAAGCACGCACTCGCTGAGTGCTGTGTGCTCGGCTGTTGTCTACGGGCTTAAGACTGATGTGAAGACAGCTGTGTCCCTACCTTGAAGAAGCAGCCTATCGTGTCCTCCGATACCCACGATAGTGCCCCAGAGGGAGGCCTCAGGAGGACCTGCTGGCTCGGGCGGCCCAGAGGAGGGTCACAGTGCGTCGGTGCGTGGTGCTTGGCAGTGTGCAAGGCCCTGGGCGTGGGGACCGGGAGGCGCCCCGCTGAGGGCCAGGCGCAGCGTCCCGCAGGAGCGGATTGGCTGACAACCCAGTCAGCGGAGCTCCAGATGCAGGGAGAGCCGCAGGCGCACGGCGGCGCTCGAGAGCCACTCACGCGCTTCTCTCTTGGGTTCCTAGGTGACCAACACGCAGATCTTGCAGCTTCAGTTTCACTCTGGATTCATCCCCTTGGACACCACAGTGTTAAAGTTCGCCAAGTGAGTCCTGCCTGGGCCTGGGCCGGAAGCCTGTGGCTGTCACAGTCCCGCGGCTGCGACGTGTGGGGCCTGCGTCCCCAACACCTGGGCTGCCTCAGAGTGGCCTCAGCTGAGAAGTGCGAGTGATCGGGAGCTTGAGCCCTCATCTGCGAGACCCTGGCGTGTCCATCAGGGTGGCGGTTTGGGGCATGCTCTGCGCGATGCCGTCGGGGTAGATGCCTGGCCGCTGACCCCTAGTGGCAGTGTCACGGTGTGGCTGGGGGAGGCCAGTGGTGGCTGAAGCTGGGGTGACGTTCAGGGGCTCAGGACGGCAGCTGGGGCTTCTTTCCCCGTTTTCTGACTGATTCGGCCGGGCCAGTGCCTGCTGGCCGCGTGATTCGGCTCTGCTCTCCGGAAGGCTTTCCCAGGCGGTCGTGTCTGTGGCTCCGAACAGGGATCAGTCTCCTCTCCCTAGAGGAGGAAACCGGTACGAGCAGTAAAGTCGGTAGTGACCGAGGTATCCCTGGAGCGGGTCTGCAAGGTCCATCCGAGGAGGGGTCTGGGCGGAACAGCTCACTGTCCCCGTGGACTCTTACAGTCTTGTCCTTTTAAATCCCCGTGTAGGCCCGAGTTGGATGCCTGCGATGTCCCAGAAAAGTATCCCCAGCTGTTTCAAGTGACGCTGGACGTGGAGCTGCAGCCCCAGGACAAGGTCGGGGACCTGACCCCGCCGTGGGATCAGTACTGCGCGAAGGACGTCAGCCCCAGTGTGCTCTTCTCCTCCCGCCAGGAGCACCAGGACACTCTGGCCTTGGGAGGTAGGCGCGGCCGGCCGCCTTGCTTTGCTGGGCGGAGCCCCTGTGGTTTGTGGCGCGACTCCTCCCCCGTGTCTCACTCGTGCTGCACGGCCTTCCGTGTTGTTGCAGGACAGGCCCCGGTGGACGTGCCCCCCGACACCCCCAGGCACCCCGGCCAGGGCGGCTTCTTCTCGTCTCTCTGTTGGCAAGGTACCCGCAAGCGTGATTCCACCGTCCACGGTGGGGCGGGCATGGGGGCAGGGCGTGCGGTTCTCTAACCGGAAAGCCAGCTGCAGCCCCTTCCTCCTTCCGCCGTGCTCCGCACAGCCTTCCGAGCCAGGCAGCTGCCCTGTCGGCTTCACGGGTGCCCAGCACAGCCAGATGAGCAAAGGGCTCTACTTCCTGTCTCAGTTAAATACCCTAACAATGTAGAGTCGAGCGTTTCCTCTAGAGCTTCCGCGGCTCCCGTGAGGGGAACCAAACCCTTGTCTCACCAGCGCTCGCTTTCCCAAGTCAGCAGAGCCCGGGCTCCGCCGCTCTGCTTTTCTCCCGTGCCGGGGATGCCTCCAAACCCACTGCACAAGGCACCGGCCGGCTGGCGTCCCCGTCCCCACACAGCCTGGACGGGGCATCAGGAGCTGCGGTCCAGAAGGTGCCAGCCAGCTCCGGCCGAGCTAGCGACCACCCTCCCACAGCCCGCTTGTATCCGTGGTGTCTGATGATTCCTGCCGCCTACGGAGACTGCCAGGGTTTGGTGAAACTATTTTTCATGGAACTCCTTTGAATTAAGCACTTATCAGTCCAATTATTTAAATGCAGGATGTCCAAAAATTGCACATTTTCATTAATTTTTATAGGACTGTAACAGGAAATATGAAAATGACAATGTTATCCAGTTTATTCAATGCAGGAATTGACTGGTTGTTATGGCAGCTGCCCGAGTGACTCGGGATAACCATGAAGAGGCTAAAAGGCTTATTTCTGAGTTCTGTTTTGAGACCAGAACAAAAACTTCTGGAAAACCTAGCCACTCTAGATAGCAGGTAGATTTGGAAGCCTCTTCTTGGTTTTCTTTCTTTTTTTATTTTAAGACAGGGTCTTGCTACACAATTCAGGCTGGCTTGAACTCTCTGTTTAGCCTGGGCTGGCCTCGAACTTGCAGTGATCCTCCTGCCTCAGCCTCCCAAGTGCTGGGATCAGAGGTGTGCACCACCACGCCTGGCTTCTTGGTTTTCCTTCATCCTGACAGCCTGGGCGTTTCACAAAGCTTACCTTTCCATCGTCACATTAGTTGTGAATCAGAAATATCTCAACTTCGGTAGCAGTGCAGAGTGCTCTGTGCATGGGAAAGGCAGTGTGGGGTGTAGACTCTCCTCTCAGCCTCCCACCGATGTCTGGGACAACACCGTCTGCTGAAGAATCTCGCTATTTCTGCAGCGTCGATACTTTCGCGTCTGTTCCGATCACGTCTTCCTGCCCTGCCTCCCATGTGGAAGGCAGTGTGTCAGTAGCAGAGGTCTGTGGAAAGATCATGGCAGGCAGGCCCAGAGAGGCACGGGCTGGCTCCATCTCCGACCTGAGCCTGTTCCCCTGTGGGGCCTCCCCTCGGCTGGGTGGGACACTGCCCGGGATTTCCTTGTTGGCGTGGCAGTCTCTTCCCGGAAGGGGGAGAGCCTTGCTGTGGGCTGTGGTGACACAGAGAGGTGCAGCCTAGCATGAGAATCAGCACGGAGCATCGTGCCGGGAGGATCATAGTAATCAGGATCACGTTTAGGTGACCTGTGTGGACCTGCTTGTCGACGTGGCACCCATGACTCCGGCAGGGGCCCAGATTGGGTCCTCTTCCCGACCCCTGATTTGCTGAGCAGGAAACTGAGGCCCAGGGCGTGCAGGGACTTGTGTGGGCTCACAGAGCCTGTGAGTGGTGGTCCCGGTCTACTAGCCCCGGAGTTCCTTCCCTTCACGCCCTGCCGCCCTGCAGCCAGCTCAGACCTCTCCCCTCAGCGGGCGATGCGCTTCCTGCAGTCTGCCCAGGGCTCCCCAGGGAGGGTGTAGAGCTGGGCCTGTGCGGCGCTGCCCGCTCCTGGGATGCTGTGCACTTAGGGTCAGAGAGCCCAGCCCTGCCTTGGGCGGCACCTCACCTGCCCCGCTGGCCTTCCTTAGATCAGAAGCCCGAAAAGTCCCGCGAGGAGGACCACGCGGCCCTGGTGAACCAGGAGAGTGAGCAGTCGGATGAGGAGCTCCTCACTCTGTCCAGTCCGCACAGCAGCGCCAACGGCGACCGGCACCATGGGCCCCGGAGGCCCAGCCAGAAGCAGCAGGAGCCCGCGCCGCCCACGGCCCCTGAGGAGGTGG